CAGTTCCTCAAATACTTGAAAACAATGATTGTTACCCCACCCTCTAGATTTAAACATCTCCAGTTCCTGCACTTGATCATCTTCTTATGTTCCTGTGGCCTGGGTTTCAATCCCTCCCCAGTCCTGGTCGCTCTCTGCTGGACAGATTCTGACTTGTCATTTCCTTCCTAAAACCTAAAACTTAAGTTCCAGAGTTGAACAAAGTTTTCCAAATGTATGCTGGCCAAATATATGCTAACTAAAAGTCCCTGGTAATTCTATTTTGCCTGTATCTCTACCATTTATCTTAGCCATAGGCAGGTCTGAAAGCTGAACTCATCCTTGAGTTTAACTTCATCTCAAACCTTGGTATCTATTCTTTAGGCCTTTGCTTTCTCATCTCCCTTTATGCTCTCTCAATCGTTTTTATGAGTTTTCATTCAACCCTGCCTATTCATCAGGACATAGAATGTTAATGTTTAATGTGACATAAGATCATTAATTCAAATCCTTCTGTTTTACAGAGGAGGAAACTGAAGCTCAGAAAGGAGATGGGAAATTTCAGGGGTATAGAGAGTGTAGGTGGCAGAACCATAGCCAGAACATAAATCTTAGGGTCGCAGATAGAGTTGGAAGAGCTCTTAGAAGCCAATTAATGCAGCCTTGTTTTATAGAGGAAGAAACTGAGGCCTAAAGGATGAAGTAATTTGCCCAAGTTTACAAAATGTAAGTATCAGAATTAGGATTTGGACCACAGTCTTTTCTCTTACTCCAAATCTAGCATTTTTTCTCTCACATTACCATGCCTCCTGTGACCCAAAGCTCTACAATGCTTCATCAAGGCATCTCTAAATTTTCTGGTCAGCTCAAGGGTCACAAGAACATGTGACTTCTTTGAAAGAACATTTGATTTCAACAAATATGTTAAACCCCTCTAATGAGCAAGGCTCTGTAATTGGCACTGGAGAAACAAATAGAGATAGTCCCTATTTTTAGGGAACCTATAATTTAATACTTGTATCTATGATGCTAGAAAGTAGCTAGGATGGAAGTTTAACAGTTGTGATTCAATGGAAAATTAGCTGCAAATGGGAGATCTCTATAAGGTAATTAGAGAAATTTGGGGAGGAAAGCTCTTTCATAAGAGGTGTGTGTGAGACAGAGTATCAGAGAAGGCTTCATGGAGAGATTGCACCTGAAATGATCTCAAAGGATCAGAGCTAGGAAGAAAAAACATCAGGAGATGTGAGGAGGCTGAAAGAGAGGAACTTAATTCTAGGCATTGAAAGAGGAGAGAATAAGATAAAATCATAGAATCAGATTGAAAGAGATCTGAGTCCAGCTATCTCATTTTACAAATAAGGAAACTGAAGCACTCATTAGTATCTGAAGCATGATTTGAACTCAAGTCTTCCTGACTCCAAGGTAACTATTCACTGTGCCATGCTGCCTCTCTGCCTGGGGGCAGTTTGGCTGGAATGTCCTGTACATGAATGGAAGTAGTGTGAGTGAGCTGGAAAAATAGTGTGTCATTAGATTCTGGAACCTTGAGGGTGCTGGTGTCAGAGCTTTAGACTCTGGGAGGCAGTGAGGAACCCTAGAGACAGCTAGGTAGCGTAGTGAATAGTATTGGATTTGGAGTCAGGAAGACATAGGTTCAAATTTGGCCTCATACTTTACTAATTTTGTCACTCTGTTCAAGTTATTTAACCTCTCAGCCTCAGTTTTTCTCTTATCTGTAAGATGGGAATGATTATAGCACCTATTTCACAAGGTCATTGTGAGGATCCAACTTCCAAGTGATATATAGAGCTATTAGCATCACTTAAGGTTTTTTAAACGGGGCAGTGATAATCACCATAGTGTTGCTGTAGAAAAATGGGCTGGAGAATTTCCTGCTTAAAACTGTTTAAGGAATTTGTTTCTTTTTGTTTTGTTGTTGTTGTTGTTTGTGAGGCAATTGGGGTTAGGTGATGCCCAGGGTCACACAGCTAGTGAGTATTATGTGTCTGAGGTCGGATTTGAGCTCAGGCCCTCCTGACTCCAGGGCCAGTGCTCTATCCACTGTACTACCTAGTTGCCCCACTAGGTTGCTTTTTTAACAGCTTTAAAATTTCGGAGTTGAAAGCTAAACACTGAACAGGTGTGTATATATACACACACGCACACACACGCACATACATACATACATACATACATACATACACACATACATATACACATATATACATATATATCATATAAGCATATGTAAATGTGCTTATATATACAACATATATACAAATACATATATATATATATAACATAGCATATAAAGCTAGGAAAATCCTTTACTTTGTTTCAGTTACGTTGCAAGATCATGTCACTGTTTCTGGTTGTGAATCAAATCTCTCTATCTGTAAGGCCACCTAGCCACACTCATCTTTTTGCTTTGTCCTCTTTCCTCTTGCATCCTGAGTTTCCATGTTGGAAGCTTGTGTTGTAAGCTCGTAGCTTTTGTCTTCAGTGCTGTTTCAACCTCAGATTCTACGAACAGGGGAGAACACCATGACTGTTACTGTGTTAGTTATTACTCTGCTGTTTGAAAAGCTGTCCAGAGGCCAAAAGTACAGAAACATTCTCAAGTAGGACACACTTTGCTTGGCTATGAATAGTTCTCCCACAATCTGTTGTAGTGTGTGTTCTGTTTTAAAAATGCTATAGAGGAAAATAGAAGGGTTGGGGGTTAAGAGAAGAGGGGGAGATATAGAAGGGAGGGCAGATTAGGGGAAAGGGTATACAGAATGTATGCCATCCTGGGGTGGGGGGAGGGATGAGATGGGGAGAAAATTTGGAACTCAAAATCTTGGGGAAGTTAATGCTGAAAACTAAAATTAAATAAATTTAAAAAAAATTTTTTAAAAACCTCAAATGAGGTCATGAAAAAAATTTTTACACCTAATTGGAGTAAAATAAAATATTATTTTTAATAAAAATAAATAAATAAAAATGCTGAAGAGCTTTGAGATCAAGAACCCTGAAGAAGCTTTCAGCTTTTCACTCAGTTGAAGGTGGCTCTGGAGCTGAACTTTGAAGAAGGGAGCTATTGAATCTCTTTAACTCTAATCTACCCTGTACATAACACTCCTTCTATCTTATTTATGGCTGGTACTCCTTTCTCAGAACCATACAGTGGCTGTTTACTGCCCACTAAATTCAGTTTAATAGACATTAAGGCACTCTGCTAGGCACTGGTGATACAAAGACAGAGAATAAATATTATACTGCCTACCTAATAAAGTATAAACTCCTTATGCTGGCATTCTGGGTACCCTCCACAATCTACCCTCCTATTAATCTTCCTTAAATACCTATCTTACGTCATCCTTTTTTCACCATGGGCCTGTCATTCGAGGTCCTGCACAGTCTGGGACCTCCTTCCTTGTGCAGCCTCATCTCACACTACACCCAAGAACCACTGAGCCAGACCAGACCTCACCGTTCTGTGCCTTCAGTTCATGTCATTCTCTATACTTAGAATGTCATAGATTCACAGATCTGGAGTTGGAATAGACCACAGAGGTCATTTTGTCATAGAATCATAGATCTCTAGCTGGAAGAAACTTCAGAACCCATCTAATCCAATCTCTTCATTTTTCTAGGTGAGGAACCATAGGCTCAGGGAGTGACCGCAAGGTCACACAGGCAGCAAATGGCAGTGCTGGGATTCAAACCAAAGTCCTCTAACTCCAAAGCCAGCTCTCTTTTGTTAAGGACTGTTAAGGGGTTCCCTGAACTCGTCTTTTTGAGTTGCCATATTTTCCAGAAACACTGGACCCAGAGCATTCAGGAGGCCCTGAATGTGTCAAGGACAAAGGCCCCGTACTTCCCAGCTGACATAACTTGTTGTTTGCACCGCAAGCTGGATTCCCTGTGTGTCCTTGGGAGGCAAGACAGGTGCCAGGTAGTCTGTGCCAGGCTGGGAAAAGGCTTGTGCAGCTGGGGTCCTTTGCAGATAAACAGATCCTCCTATCTTCATAGTCTAGTGGTTCCTAAGGAAAAAGAATGCGAAAAGAAAGCCGTCACCTTGCTTTTTGTCCTTTTCCCTAATATTACTGCACCTGTCCCCTCCTGTGCCATGCCCCTTCATGTTTTGTCCTCCTCCTTTTGTTGTACTGTCATAACTAAGCAAACTTCTGTAAGGACTGTGAACTCTTAGGGTTCTACATGCGTATTCCTTTCTGTTATAATAAACTTGGCTTTCACACAAGTCTCGTGACGTGATTGCCCTGTTGAAATTCTTACTTTGATAATAACAGATATTACACTTGAGAGGTTTTCAGAATGCTTTACATTCATTATATCACTAAATCTTTACAGCCCTGTGAGGGAGGTACTACAATCAATCTCTCAATCAATAAGCTTTTTTTATTTTATTTTTTTATTTTAGACTTAAATACCCAATAAGAAAAGAGAAAGAAACATAAACGTAAATATTGAAAGTTAAATGCAAAATAAAAGAAAAAAAAGCATTGCTATGCATAGCCAAATGTAAGAGGATCCGAAATATACAGCAATAATTTCCATTTCAAGAAAGCCCATATAATCATATAATAAATACTGTGCATTGTGTTGAGAGCTGTCCATCTTTTCTTTGCTTCCTTTTAAGATTTCTTTTGTTCTCTGCTCTGTACATTTTTTACTTTGTTCTCACTTATTTGCTCTCCCAATTCTCCTCTCCAGTATTTCTCACCTGACACTTTGTCTGCCTTTCCCTTATGTATTTAACCATTTATCTTTTTATATTATTTATGTATCTTTCATATTAACCCTGCCTGACTATGAGCTCCATGTGGGCAGAGGTTATATGTTAGTCAAACTATATAATTCCCCCAGTACCTAACATAGTGAGTGCTCTGCACATAGTTGATACTTAATAAATATCTGTTGAACTGAAGTGAGGTGATAAATGTAGAAGGGCTTTTTAACATAAAGCCTTTATATGTGTAAGCTGTGTTATCATCATTGTATTTGTGTTTCAGATGGTGACCCTCTTTCAGATGTGGGTTGTCCCCCTCTATTTCACAGTGAAGCTACACTGGTGGAGGTTCCTAGTGATCTGGGTCCTGTTCTCTGCTGTTACCGCCTTTGTTACTTTCCGAGCTACTCGAAAACCTTTGGTGCAGACAACCCCGAGGTGAGAATTATGCAGGGGAGAAGGGCATAGGGGAGGGATTGGATCATAGAATCATGGCATTGTAGAAGCAGCCCTATCTAGAATGCCACCCTACTCTTCACCAGTTTCCCATCTGCCCCCCCTATTTCTCTCCACCAATGTAAAGAGCAATTGCCTGAGCAGAATTCACTCCTCTGCCTTGTAAGGCCTGATGGGATGCTTTAGCTCTCAGATAGGCTGGTCATCGCAGTGTAGAGCTTCCAGAGACCATGCTGCCCTGCAGTTTGGTTCTTCCTGGGCATTTTAACATTAGAAGTCCGTTTCAAGTTTGTACCCCCGGTGGTCAAACAAAATGTGATTAGGAATCACTCATCTCCAAAGTGAAGGGGTTGTTGGGGCAGCTAGGTGGCACAGTGGATACAGCACCGGCCCTGGAGTCAGGAGGAGTTGAGTTCAAATCCGGCCTCAGACACATAACATTTACTAGCTGTGTGACCCTGGGCAAGTCACTTAACCCCATTGCCTAGCAAAACAAAACAAAACAAACAAAAAAAAACAATGAAGGGTTTGGACTAGATGACCGAACCCGGGATTGGGTTTCCTTGAGACAGGGGTGAAGTGGATGAGTAGTGAACTCTCCATCGTTGTAGAACGGCAAAGTGAATTTGAATGATCACTTATAAAGTCTGTTGTAAAAGGAACACTTTTTCTGATATGAATTGGACTAGATGGACTTCAAAATAGTGCTGGAACCGGAAAGGGAGAATTCTTTTCTACATCTGATTTTCACTTATACAGAGGAACTGGGATAAAAATAATGGGTACTTTTTGACAATAACTACTCCCTCTTAGAGTTTGTGATGACAAGAGGCAAAAAACGAATGTTAAAAAATAATAAAAATAAAATCAGAGACAGAGAGAAGCCAGGCTTAGTTTGCCATTCCCCTAGATTTTGGGAAAGTAGATCTCAAAGGTTTCAGAGAAAGGAAAAGTGGATTCCATGGACTAAAATTCTACAAGGGAAGTCAATTCAGGAGACATGGAAAACCCTCAAAAAGGAGGGTCTGGGAGGAGCTAGGTAGCGCAGTGGATAGAGCACTGGCCCTGGATTCAGGAGGACCTGAGTTCAAATATGGCCTCAGACACATAACACTTACTAGCTGTGTGACTCTAGGCAAGTCACTTAATCCCCATTGCCCCCCCAAAACAGGGGAAAAAAAAAAAGGAGGGTTTGCAGCCACACAGGGAAACAGTTCTGATTTGGAGGGAAAATGGGAGTTGTGGGAAGAGACTGTTGAGGATTCACAGAGAATTAATAAGACATGTACAGAAAATGAAATGTATGGCAGGTAGGATGAATGTAAAAATATGACTCAAGTCTGTAAAAATAGTCAAATACTTGAGTCAAAGCTCAGATTGAGTTGAAATGGACAAGAAAAGCTAAGAATAAGAAATAGTTTTTTTGTTGTTTTTTTTTAAGCTATGTTAGGATTATAGCTAGCAGTGATTGGGACAATGATAATTGATTTCAGAGGAAAGATAATGTTGCCTAATCTTTATTTTGCTTCTGTTTGCTCTGCCAAAGAGAACGTTGGAGTCGGGGGAAAAAAACCGTGCAGAAGTGGCTAATGGGGAATTGATAGGAATGAGTAAGGAAACTGTAAGAACCCTTCATGAGTCGACATTATCTGGCCCAGAAGCCCAGTGTCTTCACACAGTGCTTCTCCAAGGGTATGGGCCAGGGGATTTTCACCAAAGATGCCATGAAATTTTGCTCTCCAGATATCTAAAACTTTATTATTTATAAACTTCCTACTTTGACCGCTCCCAGAAATTCATTTGCTTTTGAGCTTGCAGTTCATGTTGTAAACCATCAAACTCTGAACAAAACAAAATGTCCTCCCAAACTGCAAGTGATTACAAATATTTATAGCTCTCAGAATGTTAGGTCACTCCACCCCGAGTATTCCTTCCCATACCCCAAGACTTCTACATTCCCCAGTCCCCAACCTCAACTGCAGTTTGATGCCTGATCTCATGAAATGTGGTCTGTTAATTGCTGAATTAAATGGGCTATTCTCAGTGCTCATCCTTGAAGTCTCTACCATATTTGACACTGTCGACTACTTTCTACTTGTTAGACACCTTTTCTTCCCTCGGTTTTTTTAATACTGTTCTCTCATGGTTCATCTCACATATGTCATCAACATCACTGTTCAGATTATTGATGAGAAAAGTTGTCTGAGACCAGTCTCAAGAGGCTGCCACTTGAGACTTCCCTCCAGGCTGACTTTAGTTACTCTTTAGGTCCAATTTTTCTACCAGTTGAAAGTCCCTCTGATTTTACTATCATTTAGCCCAGATCTCCCCATCTTTTTCGCAAGGATATTTTAAGTGATATTGTCCCTTTAATCACAAACATAGCTCTAGTCCTGGTGCCTGATGTGATGGAAAAAGCTATGGTCTAGGAACCTAAAGGAAGAGGCTTTCAAGTCCTGGCTGTGCCAGTCGTTAGATGTGTGGTCTTGGGCAAGGCACTTGAATTCTTTGAGTCCTCTCATGTAAAGTGTGTCAGGTTTAATCCTATGTTGTGACGTTTCCCCTGATCTGGCATTCTCACTACCACTAATTGAAGTAAATGTCAACCCCTAACATACCACACAACATTTAGCACAGTGCCTAGCACACAGTAGGTGCACAGTAAATGCTGGGGGTTGGGCTGGTGGCTTAATAAAAGAGAAGTTAAGAGCCTTTCCATGGGTTAGGAAGCTATTTAATAGCAGAGAAGCATTTTGGACTGTTTGGCCTGAGGTATCAACCTTGTCTCTGTTCTCTTCTTATACTTGAATAATATGTGATCCCAGATTTGAAGATTTGATTTTGGGGCCCTAGGATCCCCATGTTTCTGACAAGTGAGCATAGCTAGAGCCATTGAGGTCACTCAGGTATAGGGCCTCCATCCTCTGCATCCCTTATTCCTTCTTTGTGGGAAGTGGTAAGGTCATTTCATCTCCTTTTACTTCTGTCATTTCCTCTGCCACACCCCTCTTCCTTCTCAAAAAAAAAGTTGGCTAGTCTTCTTCCTGGGCTGTGACCACAAGGCCCCAGCTCTGCATCATTCACAATAGCAACCTTACCCTCAGACCAGCCAGTTAAGGTGCTGTAAAGTGTGGGTGTAGAGGAATAAACATTACATATGGGTTAGCAAAATTACCAGTGTACAACATGAGGTTATCATGAGACAGATCCCTTGGTCTTGTATCTTTCTGTCCAGTCTTTTGAACTTAACCTTCTTTCATCACATGTACTTCCTACTTGTCTAAGAAGCCTGTTTTCCTCTTCATTGCACCCTGTTTTTATTTTGTCTTGTTTTTTTACCCTCCACCTACTCCAGTGATTTCTTGATCACCAGGGAAATGGAGAGTTCCTCTCTTTGGTTCTCCAGGCTTTTGCCTTCCTTAGCTAGAGTGTATGTAAAACTTAAGCTTTGGATAACTATATGCATGATGGAGCCATAGGAAACCATTCAGGAAAGCTCTATATATGGAGCATATTCCATCCCTGCCCCAGAATGATAGAAATAATAATAACACATTTTTTTTATTATGTTAAGGTTTATAAAGAATTTGCTTCACAGCAACACTGTGAGAAAGGTTATGCAAATATTTTTAACTCACTTTTACAATTGAGGAAACTCCAAGGTAAGGGCAGACAGGAGTGACTTACCCATTTAGTAAGAGTCTCATTTAGACCTTCACCCAGATGATTTTCTGACTCCAGAACCAGTATTCTTTCCCTTATATCACATTGCTTTGTACCTGGACTCAAAGTCGAGTCCAAGACATGTCATCTCACCACTGTACCATCCTGTCTTCTAAAAATATCTAGAAGGGTTATGATGAAATTCTCCAAAGTATCTTCATTAGGAAACAGCCCTAGGGATAGAGAGACCTTGAAGTCAACTTCAGGGCCCAAACAGAACAAGATGGCACTGTAATGGTTAGGCCTGTTTCGATATCTTACTGAGGTTGCAGAAGAAAAGAGGATGGTTCTGTGGAGAGGATATGCTCCATGGATTGGCCTTAGTACCCAGTAATTCTTGCTGTTCCAGATGTCAGAGACTTGCCCCATGACATTTAAAAGGGAAAATTATCTCCTTCTATCTCTGGTCCTGGCAAGTCCCAACTAACTTAAGGGAAGTAACCTCCAGAATTCACAGTTCCATCTGTTGAGGACTGAGCAGCCCTGCCACTGCCTCAAGATAAGCAAAAAAGCAGTAGGTCGCCTTCACACTTCCTTTAATGTTGGTTGGCTTTGGGAAGAAAATTGGAAGAGATTTTGAGAACTTGGATATATTGATCCTCCCTTCCCCATGTTTTGTTTTGTTTTTTTTCTAGGCTGGTTTATAAGTGGTTCTTGCTAATATACAAAATCAGCTATGCCACTGGAATCGTCGGCTACATGGCTGTGATGTTCACTCTCTTTGGGATTAACTTGTTATTCAGGTAAGTAAATGCCCAGTGTGTGTTGTGCTTTAGTTTCCAGTTTGGGGAAAGGATGGGTTTAGCCCTGTTTTCTAAGGGGTTCCCAACTGAGTGGAATGTTTATTCATTTATTCAGTCAGCAATCATTTATTAAGTGCTAACTCTCTTAAGAGCACCACAATAAAGACTGCTTAGCCTCAAGTAGTATATGTGGGACCAGTACCAGAGAGCAGGGGAGGGGTTTGCATTTGAGGCCTCTGGTGTGATAGAAAGAAACCTTCACCAAGAGCTAGGAAAACTAACTCTCTGACCTCACTTGATTTATGGGATGTCCCTGAGCCTTAGTTCTTTCACCTGTAAAACAGAGAGAATGAAGTTTACCTACCAGATGGAACTATTCTGAAGGTCCAATGATGTAATGGAGGTAAAGCCTTATCTAAGTGACAGTTGTTACCATTATCAATAGAACTTCTTCTCAATGCTTTATGGTAATGAAGAGCAGAAGAGTCTAGATAACTAAAACTGACTAGTAGGCCAAAATAATGTGGGAGAGAAGTAATAGATCTATCCAACTTGAATGTCTCCCTGAGGTATTCATAAAGAACAATAGCAATGATTGATTATAGAATTTTAAGCTAAAAAGATCCTTAAGGATTGTCTGGTTCAACTTTTACATTTTCCGGGGAAGGATCCTGAGGCCCAAAAGTGGTTTGAGGCAGAAGAAAGGGACTTAGCTAAAATCATATAGCAAGTCAGTGACAGAGTTGGGACTAGAACCTAAGTCCTTGCTCCGAGAGCTGCCTCCTTCCTAGGGCTATTGTGAGAAACAGATGAGAAAATGGACGTGAACAGTCTTTGGAAAAGTCTTCCCAGGTCCTGGTTGTTGGCTACAGCAGAAGTAGAGGACTAGGCTCGAATCCCCAGGAGACCAGTTCTAATACACTTTCCAAGCTCAGCTGCAGATAAGAGCAAGCACAGTAGCTCACTCTTCTGATGGATTTGACTTTGCCAAGGTGCTGACAGATGTCCTCATTGAACCTTCATGTAGCCCTTGGAGGTAGGCAATATAAATATTACCCCCATTTGACAAATGGGGAGTCTGAAACTTCAATGACTTGCCCAAGTTAAGCAATTTGTCTCAGCTTTCCTAGCTTGTTATTCAGTTCAGTTCAACACAGATTTAGGTTTTCTGCCCTAAAGGAGAAGAGTGGTTCCAGCAGATAAGGGAGGAATAAGAGGTCATTTTGGGTGGGTGGTCAGGAAAGTCTTTATGGATGAAGTAATGCCCAAGCTGTGCCTCTGAGGAATAGATAATTGCAGTAAACCGATGAGAAGGGGGCATTTGAGGCCTTGACTGATGTACTTAAGTGGGAGGAGCCAGGATTTGATTAAGTATTAGCAAGTAGGTCCATCTGGAGAGAGTAATGTGAAATTGAAGCTAGAGGAGATAGATGGAGCCATATTATGGAAGGGTTACAATGATCTAAGGAGTTTCTATTTTATGCTGATCTAAATATGGAGTCACGAATGGTGTTTTGAGCAGGCAATTATGCATTAGTAAATGTCGGAACTGAAGCTCTAGCCTAGGATTTCTGACTCCAGGCTCAGTACTTTTTCAAATACCACACTGCCTTAGGAAGAACTTTGTTGTGAAAAGATCTAGGTCACTTGTGGCCCTCTAGGTCCTCAAGTGCAGCTCTTTGACTGAATCCAAACTTCTTCTTATTATTTATTTATTTACTATTTTAAGGGGATTTGTTCTGTGAAGTTTGGATTCAGCCAAAGGGCTGCACTTGAGGACCTAGAGGGCCACATATGGCTTCAAGGCTGTAGGTTCCCTACCCCTCATCTAGGCTGTAGAGATCTTGATTGTGTAAATTTACAAAGAGAAAGGAGAGGGTATTCCGTGAACTTTTCCCTGCCTCCTGGGGACGACTTTTGAGACTTGAAGAGTTTTAGGACAAATGAAAAGCAAGTTTGCTTTCTATTCCTGGGTGAAGCTTCCATAATGGGCCATTGTCCATAACAACCAATATTGAGTTAGTATCTTCTTTGTGTAAAACTCTGTTCTGGGCACTAGAGAAATATAAAGTTTAGATAAGACACAGGCCTTACCTTCTTGGAGCTAGTGGAACCTAGTAGAGGATCTAAGCTACAAACATAACTACCATATACAACACAATACATGGCAAGGACATCAGAGGGTACAGGAAACTATGGAAAGCCCCTTGCTGTGACCTCTAGGCCTTGCTGACTGCTGTAGTTCTTAGGGCATCATATCTTCAACTCTTCTTTGTTAAGCACATTTATTAAGCACCTAAGCCATGTAGAGCACGTTATTAGTAGCCAAGGTTACAAAGAACGCAAAAGAAACCATCCTCATTCTCAAGGACCTTACCTTCTACTGTCAACTCCTTCCAGGAACCAATACAAGAGACCTTGCCCTTTGCCTGAGCCTTTCTTCTTTTATTGCTTTATATACTTCTTGTTAGTAAATCCCATGTCCTGAATTCTGACTTTACTGGCCCCTGAGCTTGCTTGACCCCTTTGATTTAGAAACTTGCTTCCCAGATCTGTAATTGCTAATTCCTCTTATCTCTTGTTGCCTCTTGGTGCCCAATTCTGGCTTTCATTGTCTCTCACCTTTCTTATCATCTCTGCACAACTGGATTGCAAGAGTTCATTTCTAGAGTTTACTCACAAGGGAAAAGAAAATTGTATGATGATTAAGAATAGGGCTCCAGCTGGATAATACTTAAGCCTGCCAACATCATCCTTATCTAAAATTCCCCAAGCCTAATTTGATTTTGGCCTAGAGCCCACAGCCCATTGTGCTATTCTGTCTCAACCCCAAAACAAAATACATCTTCCCCACTAGAATGTCACTGCCCTGGGCATCTCTCCCTCTATCCAGTTGGTTAGTCAAGAGATAAAAAAATGCTACTATGTACAATTATTTTTTTTCTCTAGTTATCCAGAAAGCTGAATGAGTTAGCCTTGCAAACAAAGATCTGTCTCTCCTTCTAGATTATGGATTACAATTGGGGGTCATGTTTCCACCTCCAAATGGGGAGCTTTCTGAGTCTTCCTCTTTATTCTTCTATGGCATTTATGGTATAAACCCTGGAAGTTTCTTCTCATTTGAGCTTACATATTGTCAAAAAAAGATCAAACCTTAAAGGGACCTCTGTAGTCATCTAGTATAACCTCTACCTGAGCCTTTCTATAAAAAGCTTGTCATAAAGCCATACAGACTCCACTTGAAGATTTCCAGTGATGGTGAAATCACCACCCATTCCGTTTTTGGATAGCTCTTAATTGCTTGTGCTGAGCCTAACTAACATCATAGGAATCACTGGGCTACTTCTTATGAATCTGAGGCAAGAACAGATCCGGGTTCTCAGTTGTTCCTTGTCTATGATTTTTTCTTCTCTGCCTCCCACTCCTCTGGGATCCCAGAATAGACAGGCATAGCCATCATCATGCCTGGCTTCTCCTGGGTGCCCTGATCTGTGTTTCTGTTCAGACTAAGGTGGGAACAAATCTCTTTCCTCTAAGTTTAGCCAAGACCAAGACCAAAACTTGGGATCCTGAGAAAACTAGTAGACATAGAGCAGTTCTGGAAGGGAAGGACCTAGTAAGGACTCATCTGGCTAGTTGAAAATGCTCTGTGGGTTTGGTCATCCCAGAACACACGCCCTTACTGGTGTCAGTCCCTTCTTGGAATGTAGTCCTCTCAGATACACATAGGTACCTGATAGCACTGTCTTGTTAAGCAAATTCCAGTCTAATGTAATTAGATTGTAATTATATTCCAATGCAATAACATACAGTTATTAAGTACCTACAATATATAGAGCACCTTGCCAGGTACTGAAGAAAGTTATTGCTAAGACATCGTCCCTGCCTTCATGGTATTTGCAGTCTAGCAGGGAGAATGCAATAATGATAAAAATAACTCACATTTATATGATGCCTTCAGGTTTACTAAACTTTACAGACATAGATACATTTAATATTTGATTTGTGCATTCTTGAAGGCCATTGCCCATGCCTCAAACACATTCCCTCCACATCATTACCAATTGAAGTCTGTTTCTTCAAGAACCAAGAGTACTTTTTCTAACCATTCCTATGCCCTTCTCAGATTTCTTCCTTGTATCATATTTATCTGTATACATGTTACATATCTGTTGGGAGATTGCAAGCTCTTTGAGGACAGGGATTGTGGTTTTCGTCATTTCTCTGGCACCCAAGGCACAGAACCTTAGAGTAGGTATTTAATAAATGCTTCTAAAATTGAGCTGAGGTAGAGAGGTACCAGTGAAAATCTCCCTAGAAGTCTTTAGAATCTTTCCTGCTGTGTCCAGAGTTTGTTTCCTCGATGAAACTTGTCTCCCAGAATAACTTTGAGCTACTTAGTCCGCTGCTACAAGCAATCAGAGCTGGCAGCTTGTTTACAGGTTGGCACAGTAGTCCCTGGCTGTGTCCTGCTGTAGGTCTGCTAAAGATGACAACTCTTATGTGCCTTTCTTCCTTCAGTTTCTAGCAATTACACAGCCCCATCGATGACTGCAGTATTCAGGTTATAGCTCTTGAAACATTCCCGTTGTAAGTTGTGTCAGAAATAATTGAATAGATGTTCTCTTCCCTTTGTCACTTGATATTTGAGGACATCCCCAGTTTTTCAAAAGATGCATCCTAACCTAGGACAGGCACTGTCCCCTCTATCACCTTTCATTTGGGCTATTAAATTAGCATCCTAACCTGCCTTCCCATTTCTAGCTTCTTCTAATCCACCCAACACATTATAGCCACATTAAATTTCTTAAACCTTGTCTACAGTCATGTCCCTCCTCAGCTCAGAACCTTCAGTAGTATTCTTTTGGCCTCTAGTGCCTAGAGGAGAAAGTTCATTTAGGATCACAGAATTGTCAGCTTAGAAAGAATCTCAGAGGTCATCTAGAGTCCAGTCTTTACCTGGACAGGCATCTGTTCCCCTATACCATCTAACCTTCGCTACGAGACTTGTAGAGCTATAGCTGGTGGAACACTGGGAGTCAGGAAGACCTGGCTTCTTATTTTACCTCAGACACATAAAATCCGTAACCCTCAACAAATCATTTGACCTCTGTAATCATTCCCTCATCTGTAAAATGAGGCAGGACTTAATGGAGGCTGGAACTCAAAGAGGCTCATTCCACCTCTAAATCTGTGCTTCCATGATTTCCAGTGAGGGGAAACCCATAACCTCCCAAGGTGACCCATTCACTTGTAGCATTGATTGTTAGGAAATGTTTCCTTCTATCAAGGCAACAGCTGTCTTTCTGCAGCTTTTACACATTGCTCCTAGTTTTACCCTTTGTAGCCAAACAGAATAAGTATATGTTTTCCACATGACAACCCTTGCAAATACTTGAAGATCCCTCTTCTGTTCTTCTTAGGCCTTTAGGGCCTTCCACATACAGTACGGCAATTTTTTAGCCTTATCATTTGTAAGCGACACGGTGGGCAGAGTGCCTGGCCTGGAATCAAGAAGACCTGAATGCAAATCTAGCTTCAGACACTACCTGTGTGATCCTGGCAAATCAAGTAACCTGTTTGCCTCAGTTTCCTCATCTGTAAAATAGTGATTATAACAGTACCTATTTCCAGGGTTGTTGTAAGAATCAAATGAGGTAATATTCATAAAGTGTCTAGCACATAGTAGGTGCTATATAAATGCTTATTCTCTTCCTCCTTCTCCCTTCCATTTTATGCTAGTATTCGTCATATTACTTTGTGTTCTGTCCAAACTGGAGTAGTAGCCAGGCCCCAAACATATTCTATAATTTACTATACCAGGAATGCCGTCTTTACCATCCTCACCCACTTAGCAAACAGATATCAAACGCCAGTTACATACCCAGACGTTGTGCTCAGCTCTGAGGATACAAAGATGATGAATGACACATTATATTTTCTCAAGAGCTTCCTTTCTAAAGTGTGTTTGTGGGGGGCGGGGGGAAATGAGGCACATGTGCAAATAAATATGTTACAGGTTCAATGTAATGGGAACAAATGAGAAGCCCAGATAGAGTGTTGAGGAGGAAGAGAGAATATTTTCAGCTTTGGAAAAGATGGAAAACTATAGAGAATGATGGCACCTGAGCTTTGCCTTAAAGAAAGAGAAGAATTCCTCTTTCTTTGAACAGGCTGATATGGAAGGAAATGTGTTCTAGCCCTGGGGTTATTGCCTATGCATAGAAACAGGTAGAATGAAATAGAGATTAGGAAACTGAGATTAGGAAACAGTTAATATCCATCTTGGTTGGAAAGTAGACTGCATGAAGTAGAGGTATAATGTGAAATAAAGGATAGTTTGGAGCCACTTTAGGGAAGTCCTTGAATGCTAGGCAAAGTAGTTTATATTTTAATCCTAAAGGCAGTAGGAAGCCACTGAAGGTTTCTGGCAGGAGAGTTGATAATGGCCAGCTGACATCCTATTCATGCTTTAAGGCACAGCTCATTCATTCATTCCTTCAGCAACTCATTTATTAAACATCTATTATGTATAGAGTACCTCATCTGGGAAACTTTCCCTGTCCTGACAATCTCAAAGTCATTTCACCCTCATCTGATCTCATAGAACTTTATATAACCCTTATCCACTGATTTTCTAATTTGTATTTATTTGTGTGTGGTTCTATTTACCCATACTAAAATCAATCAGTAAACCTTTATTAAATGCCTACTATGTACCAGGCACTGTTTTAAGCCTTAAGGGCAAGGATGATATCCAGCATTGAGAATTTAACATAGCCTTTTAATAGATACATGGTGAGTAAATGAACTAATAAAGCTATGTAACTTGAGGTCCTAGTCTCTGTCCACTAAAATAGAGAAAAATAAGAGAAAGCTGTTAGGGATCCAGGAATTACTTCACAGCAGAGTAATTTGAAACAGTCTCCCAAGTTTGTTGGCCTTCCAGCCCATTGTTAGTGATGCTGTGTGCGCCTAGAGCTGGAAGGAGTGGCTTTGTGTCTAGTGCTGCATGTTGCTGTCACGGAAACCAGAGTCTTCCTGTCCTCATCCTCAGAGGTCATCTGTAATGCAAGGGATAGAATGAGCTTCTCCTTTTCTGAGGCAAGCTTTGCTTTGAGGCAGGTTTTTAAGTGTACTGCCATGCCCCATCCCCACCCTTAACACTTCCCCCCGCCCCCAAAGTTTTGTGCTCTTTTTTCAGTTATAATATCGGGCTTGTGCCAGGCCCAGAGGGATACCCCAGACAGGGACTGGATGTGGCCATGGGCAATCTTATGCTTCCCTGAGCGATCCTCCTGCTTCCCTTACAGAGTCAAACCAGAAGACGCAATGGATTTTGGGATCTCCCTCCTGTTTTATGGCCTTTACTATGGAGTCCTTGAGCGAGACTTTGCGGAAATGTGTGCAGACTACATGGCTTCCACAATAGGAGTAAGTTCACCCAGAAAGACAAGGCTGCCTTTGGTGCTGTCACCAGAGAGCCATGTCTCAGGAGTGCATGTATCAGGAATGGGCTGGGAGAAATATGATGGAAAGGACTTTGGATTTGGAGTCAGAAGACATGAAACTGAAAATCCTTTGTCACTTTCTAGTTGTATTAACCTTGAACAAGTCACTTCACCAGTCTAGGCCTCAGTTTCCTTATCTGTATGATGGAAATTGTAATGATAACTGAAATTTCTATAAAGCTTTAAGGTTTTAAGGTCTATAAAGTGCTATATATACGTGTGTGTGTGTGTGTGTGTGTGTGTGTGTGTGTGTGTTCGTGTGTTCTCTAATTTGAACCTCACAGTAACTTTAAATTAGGTGCTGTAGGTATGATAGCTGTTTTATACATGAAGAATAGCTACTTCTTTTCATATATTTAAGGTTTATTTTCCTCATAAAAATCCTGTGAGGCAGGTAGTCTAAGTGTTCTTGTCCCCCTTTTATAGAGAAGAAAACTGAAACTCAGAGAGGGAAAATGACATTTTCATGATCAAACAACTAAGAAGTGTCAGAGCTAGGATATTCATATAAGTCTTTTTACTCCACAATTATATCACTATACTTTTCACTGACCCAGGCTGCTATCCAATAATAGTTTATAAACTGCTTTGCAAACTGCAGAGCTCAATATGATGTCAACCATTTTGAGAACAGATAAAGGCTGACGGGGATACATGATTGAAGTCTCTAAAATCATTAAGGATGAAAATAAAAGTTAACCTGTACTTGTTCACCACTGAAGGTGTGGAAGTACTGAAGGTCTAGTAGGTCAATAAAGGGAAATACCCTTTTGCCCAGTGGGTATTTACATGGAAAAATTGTTACACAGACTGAAAATAGAAGTAGGTTAAAGAATGGTTTGAATAACAGTTCACGCTTTTGTGGTACTTTCCAGGGGGAAAGTACTGTATTTAGTAGATCTTGTTTAATATAATGTGGAATTCAGGTAACTTTGGATATTCAGCATCCATCCCTCACTTTCAGGATATTATAGAGTACAGTTAAATTGATCAACTTTGCACTCCATTGTATCCCCATATAAGGCATAATCCTGGCCATGAGATGCATTCTTTCCGTAATATTATTTGTCTCCTTGCTCCACTGTTGTATCCAACAGGCCAGAGAAGCCAGGCTCAGTATACCAGGGAGAGGTGGTAGAAAGAGCTACTTCTTAGCCATGTGAATGTAGTCAGTCCACTTAACCTCTGAGCTTTGGCTTCCTCAGTGATATCATTACTCGTACTCCCAAACTCAAAGGGTTCTTGTCAAGTAACTCACTGCTTTGTGACCTGTAAAGTGGTATGACATTCAGGAGCTATTACCATTAATGTACATGTTCTCTTATGATGCTTCACTGTAGCAGAGGAGTTGTTCTAGTTGTCAGAGTTTCTGCCAGTCCCTTACCAATCTGGAAAGACTGAGTTTGGATTGTTCCAGCTGTAGATTGTATGTCTGTCATCCAAGATCATCCTAGCTGATTGTGGACAGGGTCATCACCAAATCGTGGCTGTGGTGGGCAAGGCCTGACCCAGGCCAGTCCCGTGATAGTTTGAATGAAATGAGATGATAGTAAGTCATTCAGCAGGTAACAGAAGGGAGTGTACTTGGTCATCTCTGAGGAAAGACATTCAGCAAAGATATCCAATGAGTATACACATTCATTCATGTGAGCACCAATTTGTAGTGCTACTCTTACTGTCATTTCATAGTCATAAGGCACAGGGAGAAGGTTGGAGCTCTTCCTGGCCTTTTGTATTCAGACAATCAGGAAGCTCCTTCAGCAACTTGAGCCAGTTCTTCTTAGCCAATCAAGTCTCAAGAAAAATTTCAGTACTAAAATTCTTAAGGAACAGAATTAGCCTAACCTGTATGGGGCAGAGCCCTAGGAAGAGCAAGCCTAGTCTTCCAGCCCTAGAAAAGAAATATTGCTCCTTTCAAAGTAGGCCTCCAGGGGGCAGCTAGGTGGCACAGTGGATAGAGCACCGGTCCTGAAGTCAGGAGGACCTGAGTTCAAATGCGGCCTCAGACACATAACACTTAACATTAGCTGGGTGACCCTGGGCAAGTCACTTAACCCCAATTGCCTGAAAATAAAAAATAAATAAATAAATAAATGAAGTGAAATAGAAAATTAAAAAAAAAACAAAGTAGGCCTCCAGGTAATGATTTTTTGGGCCACAGCAAACACATGAAGACCTATTTACAAAGGCATCAAGAGTTTGGAATGAGTATTAGTCGGAGAAGGACTCACACCAATTACCCTTGATAGCTGAAGTATTTATTTTTAATGAAGAAATAAAATGAAACACCAAAAGATTGTCACTCAGTTATTGTCACAGATTGGCAGAGCTGGAAAAGCTCTTGAGAAGTTATTTGGCAAATCACTGCCTGTCATTTCCTTAAAGTCTGTAAGGATGGAGACTCCACAGGCCTCTTCAGTAATCTATTCCAGAGTCAGAGTCACCCTCTTAGGCTTTCCCTTCTCCAGAATAAGCCATTCTTATTCCCTGGGCTTCTCTTCCTACCACCTACTTTCTGTCCCTCTGCCTATTTTACTTACCCTTATTTGACTCTCTCCAGTGTTTCCACATTGGTGTTTTTTGGGTTTTTTGTTGAGTCAATCAGGATTAAGTGACTTTCACAGCTAGTAAGTGTCAAGTATCTGAGGCCAGATTTGACCTCAGGTCTTCCTGACTGCCCCCCCCCCCCCCCCCCCCCCCCGCATTGGTTTTTAAGTGTGGTGATTAAACCAGGAGACAGGCCTATTTCCTGGGCCGCTAATGCACAGTATTCAGGACTACTTCCTGGGCAATAGTCTCATATTTGTATCTTCAAGGATCATGTGACTTTTTTCATATAAGCACTTAACCAGTCACCACAGTGAAATCATGAATATTTTTAAATTTTTTTAGTTATTAAAGATGAATGATCTTAAGCAAGTTACTTCTACTTTTTTAACCTCAGTTTCTTCCTCTGCAGAGAGGAGTTGAATTAGACAGGGGTATCTTTGGCTTCCCTGAGTGCCACTGACCTCATTTTATTAAGTATTTGCTAGCCATAGTTAAGAAAATTGATTATTAGTTACCCAGCAGTTATGGCTCTGGGACTTTTTATTTGTCACAAGAGGAACATACTACATTTGTGTAAGAGGAGAAATGCACCAAGTTGGTAGCAGAACAACCTAGTAAGGTAGAAAGAGTACCATATTTAGAGTTAGAGGACCTGAATTCAAATCCTGGTTCTTGCTGGTTGTTGGACCTTGAGAAAATTACTTTGCTTCTATGAAATTCATTTATCAAAGGAATGGTTTGGATTGATGACTTTAAGACCTCTTCAGTTTTTTTTTTCCGTATTAGTCATGTTTTAAGGAAGAATTAGAACCAATAGGAGGAACCACAAGAAAGACGAAACAAAATAAAACAGAAGAAAAAAAAGAGCAAATAATATGCTTCAATCTGCATTCAAACTCCATAGTTATTTCTCTGGATGGGGATAGTATTTTCCTTCATGAGACTTTTGGAAGATCTTTGCGTTGCTGAGAAGGACTAAGTCTGTCAAAGTTAGTCATCACACAACATGGCTGTTACTGTGTACAGCGTTCTCCTGATCCTGCTCATTTCATAGAGCATCAGTCCATACAAGATTTTCCAGGTTTTTCTGAAGTCTGCTTGCTCATCATTTCTTATAGCACAGTAGTATTCCATTACATTCATATACAACTTGTTCAACTGTTCCCCAATTGATGGGCATCCCCTCAATTTCCAATTCTTTGCCACCACACAAAGAGCTGCTATAAATATTTTTGTACATGTGGATCCTTTTCCCATTTTTATGATCTCTTTGGGATACAGCCCTAGAAATGCTGTTGCTGGGTCAAAGGGTATGCACATATTTATAGCCCTTTGCATATAGTTCCAAATTGCTCTCCAAAATGGTTGGATCAGTTCACAACTCCACCAACAATGCATTAGTGTTCCAATTTTCCCACATCTTCTCCAACATTTATCATTTTCCTGTTTTATCATGTTGACCAATCTGATAGGTGTGATGTAGTACCTCAAAGTTGTTTTGATTTGCATTTCTCTAATCAATAGTGATTTAGAACATTTTTTCATATGACTATAGATGGCTTTAATTTCTTCATCTGAAAACTGCCTGTTCATGTCCTTTGACCATTTATCAATTGAGGAATGACTTGTATTCTTACAAATTTGACTTACTTCTCTATATATTTTAGAAATGAGATTCTTAGCAGAGACATTGGCAGCTAGGTGGCGCAGTGGAAAAAATACCGGCCCTGAAGTCAGGAGGACCTGAGTTCAAATCCAGCCTCAGACCAAACACTTGACACTTACTAGCTGTGTGACCCTGGGCAAATCACTTAATCCCAATTGCCCAAAAAAAAAAAAAAAAAGAAAACATTAGGGGCAGGTAAGTGGCGCAGTGGATAGAGCACCGACCCTGAATTCAGAAGGACCTGAGATCAAATCTGCGCTCAGACACATAACACTTAATAACTGTGTGATCCTGGGCAAGTCACTTAACCCCATTGCCTAGCCCAACAACAACAAAAAATTCTTTCCCAGTTTTCTGCTTCCCTCCTAATATTGGTTGCATTGGCTTTGTTTGTGCACAAACTTTCTCAATTTAATGTAATCAAAATGATCCATTTTGCATTTCATAATGTTCTCTATCTCTTATTTGGTCATAAATTCTTCTGTTCATCATAGATTTGATAGGTAAACCATTCCTTGCTCTCCTGTTTTGCTTATAGTATCAGCCTTTATATCTAAATCATGTACCCATTTTGACTCTATTTTGGTATATGATGTAGATTTTGGTCTATGCCTAGTTTCTGCCATACACTTTTCCAGTTTTCCCAGCAGTTTTTGTCAGATAGTGAGTTCTTATCCCAGAAGCTGGGGTCTTTGGGTTTATGAAAT